CCAAGTGCTATATAGGAGTAATGGCTTGGGGGGGCTTTCTCCTGATAGTTGCCTTCCCTTCCTAATTCACCAGGTGTGTGAGAAGAGCACGAGCGCGTACGCACGCACGCGCGCACATACACACACACAAGGACCACACCTTCCCCCCCCCCACACAGACACACACCACCTGTTTCCTCCTGGAAACAGGAGACCAGACACAGGATGCAGAATAGGAGATGAAGTACTTAATGAAACGGACAGAGGGAAATATCTAGGAGTTGATATCACACCAAACCTGTCTCCTGAAGACCACATCAAGAGAATAACGTCTGCGGCATATGCGAGGCTGGCTAACATCAGAACAGCGTTCAGGAACCTGTGTAAGGAATCATTCAGAATCTTGTATACCACATATGTAAGACCAATCCTGGAGTATGCTGCCCCAGCTTGGAGCCCGTACCTTGTCAAGCACAAGACGAAGCTGGAAAAAGTCCAAAGGTATGCCACTAGACTAGTCCCAGAACCAAGAGGCATGAGATACGAGGAAAGGATGCGGGAAATGCACCTTACGACACTGGAAGACAGAAGAGTAAGGGGAGACATGATCACAACCTACAAAATCCTCAGAGAAATCGACCGGGTAAACAAGGATAAACTATTCAACACTAGTGGGACGCGAACAAGGGGGCACAGGTGGAAACTGAGTACCCACATGAGCCACAGGGACGTTAGAAGGAACTTTTTCAGTGTCAGAGTAGTTAACGGATGGAATGCATTAGGGCAGTGATGTGGTGGAGGCTGACTCCATACACAGTTTTAAATGTAGATATGATAGAGCCCAGTAGGCTCAGGAATCTGTACACCAGTTGATTGACAGTTGAGGGGCGGGACCAAAGGGCCAAAGCTCAACCGCCGCAAGCACAAATAGGTGAGTACACACACACACACACACACACACACACACACACACACACACACACACACACACACACACACACACACACACACACACACACACACACGTGACACTGATTGAGGTACTTTCTGCGTCCAGTGACTGTAAGGTTGTGACCACAGCCATGGCAGGGGATGGCAGAGGTGGCAGGGGTGGCAGGGGATGGCAGCAGTCCATGGCTACAAGACAGGACTACTTTCTTGTTCAAGGTAGAAGCCTCGTTAATAAACTTACCGTCGACTGACTTACGTTTTCTCTCAAATTTCCTCCTCTCTTTTCCAGCCGCACTTTTCCCTTTCTCTTTTTCTCAACACTGTTATAGTCTCTGCTGCTCTCGCTCTCTCTCTATACCTCTCTCTACCTCTCTCTCTCTCCCTCTCTCTCTCTCTCTCTCATCGATTTATTTATTTTGTCACCTCTCTTCCTTCTCACCATTCTGCTAGCGTTCCTCCTTCCCCTCCTTGCGAGGAGCTGTAGGGAGGATAAGACCCAACGGTCACCAGATGCTCTCCCTATCATGCAGGTAGTTCAGGCACGCAATAAAGCTCTTCCGGCATGCAAGAACGATATATATAGACTAGTCTCGACCCCTAGGAGACCTGGATCACATGATGCAATTGCAACTTTTACCGGAGATGAGCACTGTATTAAACCCCCAGACTGATGATCTGCAACACCAGAGGCTGATGAGCCATTCCTGGAGAATGGAACAATGTATAAACCTCCCCGCAGACACTCTGAGGATGTTATCTTGAGGTTATTTTGAGATGATTTCCGGGCTTTAGTGTCCCCGCGGCCCGGTCCTCGACCAGGCCTCCACCCCCAGGAAGCAGCCCGTGACAGCTGACTAACACCCAGGTACCTATTTTACTGCTAGGTAACAGGGGCATAGGGTGAAAGAAACTCTGCCAATTGTTTCTCGCCGGCGCCTGGAATCGAACCCAGGACCACACGATCACAAGTCCAGCGTGCTGTCCGCTCGGCCGACCGGCTCCCATATTGCAACATCATGTTGAACCTTGGATGATATGATGCTTGAAGCATATACAACATACATACAAGGTAAATACATACATACATACCACCCCCTTATATATTATCAGTGAAAATAAAACATCCCCCGACCTTCGAAGACTCCGGTAATTTAGGAAGTGACGCGATTCCAGGAAGCCAGAGTCATATATATCCCAGGTTAACTCCCTGGAAGACTCGGAGCTGCAGACCATGGTTGGTATTTCCTGAAGACCAGAGGTATATTAAGGTATTTACCAGGAAGATCTGGAACAGGAGAGACAAGCAAGAGAAAGTAGCAAGAGAACTCACAAAGTAGCAAGGAAACGTTAGAGAGAAATTAAGATACGTGTGTGTGTGTGTGTGTGTGTGTGTGTGTGTGTGTGTGTGTGTGTGTGTGTGTGTGTGTGTGTGTGTGCTCATCTAGTTGTGCTTGCAAGGGGTGAGCTCTGGCTCTTTGGTCCCGCCTCTCAACTGTGAATCAAGTGGTGTACAGATTCCTGAGCCTACTGGGCTCTATCATATCTAGATGATGAGTGTGTGTGTGTGTGCGTGTGTGTGTGTGTGTGTGTGTGTGTGTGTGTGTGTGTGTGTGTGTGTGTGTGTGTGTGTGTGTGTGTGTGTGTGTGTGTACATCCACACGCGCGTGTTTGTGTGCATTATTTCAAAGTGAGTGAAATTTGCACTTACAATGATTTTTGAATAATTCATTACTGTGGTAATCTGTGTGTGTGACACTGAATAGAGTCGGTCATGTCCCTCGTGACACTAGACAGAGCCGGTCCTGTTCCTCAAGGTACTGGATAGAGTCAGTTCTGTTCCTCGTGGCTGTGGACACCATTACTGTGCCAGGGTTATTAATCACACAGGTAGAGCTACGGTCATTAATGTTTCGGGGCTACCATGCAGCCCTCGTAGTGTTATTGATCTCTAGTGGGTCGTCCACTTCTTAGAAGTGTGACAAAGCTTATTGATCTTCTGTCTGGTTGGCAGGCTGCAGATTTCAGAGAGCTTATTGACCTTGAAACTCGGGCAGGGTGAAGGTGTTTCAAAGCACATTGTTCTCCTGGAAACTTTGCAGGAGTTTCTTTTATTGATCTCCTTGTAACTAGTGTGGCTGGAGTTGAATTATATTGGTGTTTCGGAAACTCAGCTGACTAAAGGCGTCGTAAGATATTCTCTAGTTCTGGGATTTCTATGTAATAGTGTAAGGTAAGGGGCACCATTGAGCAGGTTGACTGGGGACCTCAGAGGACAGAGAACCGAGACTGCTATAGGAGTCTCGGAAACCTATCAAAGGAGTGGCATAAATATTCCATAGATTGAGTACAAATTGGAAAATTTATACGGAAGAAACACCAAGGACATGGAGAACAAAGCTAGCAAACGTAAGAGATAGGAACTTCGAAATGCAACATGTCAATGAGACAAGGAAAAAAAGGTTATTCCTGCACTTCAGTTAAAACGAAATAAACATTGCGAGTACTGCGTATGAAAGACCAATGAAATTCAGTGACTAATGCAGTTTAATAGTTTAATATGTAATTGAAAATACTGTAGAGAGGGGAAGAGTGGAACAATATTACTTCCCAAGGAAAATTACAACATGGTCAGAAACGTCTTGAGAGAGAATATCAGATGAAAAACAACACAATACATAGAATAATAACAACAAAATACCAAGTAGATACACTTTTTTGGCCAATAAAAAACAGAACATGTGGTCATGGAAACTAAAAAAAGACAAGAAAAAATATATCACCCACAAGGCGAGTAGCAAACTCCATGAATGGACAGACGGTAGAGATGGCTGAAGCAAATACAATCCAAAATTTAACAAAAATAGTATGAAATAGTCACCATGATCCACAAGTAAAGCTGTAGCAGACACTGAATTGTGAAGGGACCAAAGAGCCGGAGCTCAACCACCCACAAGCACAACTAGATGAGTACCCTGGGAACACACACCGTAACTGTCTCTATTTTCCGCTTGTTACAACTTGCAATAAAGTTGTTACATCTTGGCTTAACGTGTTTATGACGTATTAGAACGTTGTTACAACTTGCTATATTGGTTGTTATAACTGGTTAAGAGGTGCAGGCGATGAGTCACAATAACGTGGCTAAAGAATGTTGACCAGACCAAGTGGTTAGGAGGTACTAAAACATGTTCGAACGTTGTACCAACGTCGTAGTTTCGGTGTGTGTTTGGCGGGTACCTACATACTGGCCACATGGTAAAAAGGAAAGGTGAAACCCAAGAGCTGAAGCCTCGTCTATTGTGCCGTTTGTCTACAGTACTTCAATTAGCATCTTCTCTTTATTCCAATAACGCAAACGAAATATCTATCGGGTTTACTACCAATGAACAATTCCTGTCCAAGCAGTGAATCAATCACGAAGATGATTCAATACATAAATCCAATAGATTACGGTTAAAATTAATTTGTGTTGGTCAGCCCTTTAATAATTATTCCAATACGAATATTCTGTCCTAAAATTGCATATAAAAATATACTTTTTGGGCTTAAGTACCATTAAAATAAGACTCATTAATACCCGAATTTATGGTCAAGTAATTACTAATTAAACTCTGTAATCAAGTGCTTGAAGACTGCCGATTAAGTAACCAAGAGTACGCGTATAAACTTGATTAATTAAAGCTTAAAATTAAGCACTTAGCCGAACAAGTCAATAATTTCTTGCACAAAGAAAGTTGCCAGTTTGTGTACTCTGAAAAGAAATGAGAGCACTGAGAACATTACTGTGTACTAATTAAAATTGATATATGCATATGTATAATTTTAGTAATACGTTATTAATTGGCCTTTGATACAAAATATTAAAAATCATAAAATTAGCTGCAGTTGTTAGGAGTAGGAAGTACTTAGTTATTAGGAATAAGCTCAGAGCCAGAGCCATATATATTTACATTTTAAATAATAATAATAATAATAATAATAATAATAATAATAATAATAATAAGAAGAAGAAGAAGAAGAAACAGGAATTTTGAGGTGCAAAGAGTGAGGAGACATTAATAAAGACTGACCTGGGAGACAGAGCAACGTGGTCCACACCAGAGCAAGGGATGCCACCTTTGGGAGATTCTGGTGGATCATCTTGGAGAACACCTGTGGATATAAGGCAACAAGTCACTGACAGCATCACTGGGTGATGGTGCATCTATAACTGTGGATTAGGTAGTCTCTTTCCCACCTCCTCTCCCTTTCCCTTTCAACACTTCCTGTACCCAAAAATCACTCATATCCACGCTCACAAAGACCTCCTTCACAACTCTCATTTATCACTGTTTATCTGTCTCCCTCTCCCTGATTGCATAAAAAAGAAACCTACACAACATGCAAGAAACTCTCTGAATTTCGCAGCTGCTCAAACCTCAAAGAATCCAGCATAATGCCCACGACATTCCTACACCAACACCTTCATTCAGGTGAGAGAAGTCAAGGTGTATATTTATCCCTTTTGGTCGATATCATCATGTGTGTGTGTGTGTGTGTGTGTGTGTGTGTGTGTGTGTGTGTGTGTATGTGTGTGTGTGTGTGTGTGTGTGTGTGTGTGTGTGTGTGTGTGAGAGAGGCCAAGTCAAGACACAGAGACTTGACAGTATTGGGTTAGCGTGATTCCCTGGACCCTGGTTGGTTTTGGTGAGCTCAAGGTGTGCGGGGTTCTTCAGGACTGTTGTAATGCTCTTATGTTGAATAGATATATATATATATATATATATATATATATATATATATATATATATATATATATATATATATATATATATATATATTAGTATATTTTGGTAGCAGTCTTTCCTGTAGACATATATTATTAAATATGACCGAAAAAGTAAGATTAATAATTCTAACACGAATTTTCTCAATCTTTCGTACATTACGCTTCACTGTTGGAGGTAAATCAAAAATCACTTCTCCAAATTCATTTTTTATTTCTAGTCTGACGCGACACGGGCGCGTTTCGTAAAACTTATTACATTTTCAAAGACTTCACAAATACACAACTGATTAGAACTTACGTATCTCTGATTTTATATCTACATTTGAGTGAGGTGGGAGGGGTGATGTGGCATTAACACAAGACAGAACAAGAGGGGATATTAATAGGGTATTAAAAGTATCAACACAAGACAGAACAGAAACAATGGGTATTGAATAGAAGTGTTTGTAGAAAGCCTATTGGTCCATATTTCTTGATGCTTCTATATTGGAGCGGAGTCTTGAGGTGGGTAGAATATAGTTGTGCAATAATTGGCTGTTGATTGCTGCTGTTGACTTCTTGATGTGTAGTGCCTCGCAAACGTCAAGCCGCCTGCTATCGCTGTATCTATCGATGATTTCTGTGTTGTTTACTAGGATTTCTCTGGCGATGGTTTGGTTATGGGAAGAGATTATATGTTCCTTAATGGAGCCCTGTTGCTTATGCATCGTTAAACGCCTAGAAAGAGATGTTGTTGTCTTGCCTATATACTGGGTTTTTTGGAGCTTACAGTCCCCAAGTGGGCATTTGAAGGCATAGACGACGTTAGTCTCTTTTAAAGCGTTCTGTTTTGTGTCTGGAGAGTTTCTCATGAGTAGGCTGGCCGTTTTTCTGGTTTTATAGTAAATCGTCAGTTGTATCCTCTGATTTTTGTCTGTAGGGATAACGTTTCTATTAACAATATCTTTCAGGACCCTTTCCTCCGTTTTATGAGCTGTGGAAAAGAAGTTCCTGTAAAATAGTCTAATAGGGGGTATAGGTGTTGTGTTAGTTGTCTCTTCAGACAGTCCCACTTGGGGACTGTAAGCTCCAAAAAACCCAGTATATAGGCAAGACAACAACATCTCTTTCTAGGCGTTTAACGATGCATAAGCAACAGGGCTCCATTAAGGAACATATAATCTCTTCCCATAACCAAACCATCGCCAGAGAAATCCTAGTAAACAACACAGAAATCATCGATAGATACAGCGATAGCAGGCGGCTTGACGTTTGCGAGGCACTACACATCAAGAAGTCAACACCAGCAATCAACAGCCAATTATTGCACAACTATATTCTACCCACCTCAAGACTCCGCTCCAATATAGAAGCATCAAGAAATATGGACCAATAGGCTTTCTACAAACACTTCTATTCAATACCCATTGTTTCTGTTCTGTCTTGTGTTGATACTTTTAATACCCTATTAATATCCCCTCTTGTTCTGTCTTGTGTTAATGCCACGTCACCCCTCCCACCTCACTCAAATGTAGATATAAAATCAGAGATACGTAAGTTCTAATCAGTTGTGTATTTGTGAAGTCTTTGAAAATGTAATAAGTTTTACGAAACGCGCCCGTGTCGCGTCAGACTAGAAATAAAAAATGAATTTTGGAGAAGTGATTTTTGATTTACCTCCAACAGTGAAGCGTAATGTACGAAAGATTGAGAAAATTCGTGTTAGAATTATTAATCTTACTTTTTCGGTCATATTTAATAATATATATATATATATATATATATATATATATATATATATATATATATATATATATATATATATATATATATATAGGGAAGGGAGTACCACCTCTGGCTGGAAGAAGGGGGACCCATAGCCTCGGAGGAAACCACACATAACGCATTGGAGGGAATGTGGGTCCCCTCCAATACAGTTTCTGTGTGCTTTTCTCCTACCACCCCCTTCCCTTTTTTTTTTTTTTTTTTTCCTTTATTGTGTATTTAAAGGTTACAAAACATACAAGACAAATGCCTAAAGGTTATGGATCTCTTGAAGCTCCTCCGCTTCTGGACAGGAACCGAGGACGCAGCAAGCATTTCCCCTCTGGATCGCCACACTGAGACGCTGAAATAAAAAACTGGAAGCCCTTGGGTCTCTGGTGACGTCAATGAGCTTGGACCCCAATTCCTTGAGAAATCCCAAGGCACTCTTGCCCCAGGGGCCATGCGTCTCAGACGCTATGGGAACAAAGAGGTATTGACCTTCCAGTCGCCTGTACTTGAGTGATTTTGCTGTTTCCCTGTGGTTGGCCGCCCCACCTGCTTGATCAGCTCCGAAGTGTACATAGGTGTCAGCCAGGGTGGATACACATGTGTAGTCCCACACCAACTGTCTACCCTCCTTCCATGAGTATATGGTGATGCCATCAGGGCGAAGTGCGGGGAAATCCGGGTTTTGGACCCCTAGGATGCGAGGTTCTCTCTCCGCTGGGCACCCAGCTGAGACGAGGCTTCTCTTGATGATGTCATTGACCTCGTTGTGTCTTGCATGCCAGCCCTTTGTGCTTCCGCAATGCAACCCATGCAGTCCGTATTGGTCTGCTTCCACCCTGTTGCAAATACACTTGTATTCAGTGTGAATTGGGGCACCAAGGCGGAGGGCCACTGCTACACGAAGGGATTCTGGATCTAGGCGCGTGCCCATTGCAGACATGGGTACTGCCAGGAGGAAGTCTCCTGCATGGGGGGCACGCACTGCTCTGAGGCGGGCTTTCTCCTTGTCTGATGTTGCGACGCTTAGCATGGCATCAGCTACTTTTTCCACTAGAGGGTGGTCCCAGCCGGACTGTTTGTGTTGTTTTGTTGGCTCTATAATGGTTGCTGGGGCTGCAAGAACATTCCACTGATTTGAACATTCAGTGAAAGCAGGATCGTGTATTCCTGCTGAATCTCTCAGGGTTGCAGGTAAAATATCTCTGACGAGGTCGTGCGATGCATGAGAGGAGGAAAGGAAGGCTGGTAGAGCAATTTGGGAGGCTGTGCGGACACCAAGGCCGCCGAGTCTTACAGGAAGGGTTGCTTGCTCCCACTGAGAGTCGTCCAATGGCAGGTTCAGGACTTTCACCAGCATGGACCTCAGAAGGGTGTCATACACATTTAACTTAGGGCTGCTGTAGGATGGAGAACATCTCAGAAAGTAGGTCAACTTAGGGAGAGACAGGCATCTTGTAAGGAGAAAGTAATATATATATATATATATATATATATATATATATATATATATATATATATATATATATATATATATATATATATATATATATATATATATATATATATATATATATATATATATATATATATATATATATATATATATATATATATATGTCTGAAAACTCACACCCCAGAAGTGACTCGAACCCATACTCCCAGGAGCAACGCAACTGGTAACTACAGGGCGCCTTAATCCGCTTGACCAATTAAGGCGTCAAGGTTAACATTCCCTCTAATGCGTTATGCGTGGTTTCCTCCTAGGCTATGGGTCCCCCTTCTTCCAGCTAGAGGTGGTACTCTTATTATATATATATATATATATATATATATATATATATATATATATATATATATATATATATATATATATATATATATATATATTTATATATATATATATATAAGAAAAAAAAATTGATTTATGGCAGATAAATACCCATCCAATTGGACTGGTTAGTTCAACGACCTTGCTTCGGGCTAGGCCCGTGCTCTATTTCCGATAGTCATAGTGGTTGGGCACAGTCCTCATATCCCAGT